CTTTTTCGGAGTCTGCTGTGTGTTGGGATGAGACCCCTGATGTCACGACGGCATGCTGCTGCGCTCTGGCCGCTTAGGCACTCCACCCCATTTTCCTTGTTTTCCCTTCTCACACCTGGGATCGGCTGCAGAGACAACGGCCTTTAGCTTGCGATGCGATGCGATGCGAGGCGGAGGAGGAGGAGGAGAAAGACCAGAGCAAACCAAATATGCATCAGCGATACTGGAATACACCCTCACGTCCCAAGTCCCCTCCTCATACACCCGTGGAAGGCTTGTTTTCATTACAAGAAGCGCCCCCACTGTAAAACTATCGCACTTGGGCCTGCCATTGTGGCAAGCTTTCCGCTTTGGCATGGAATTGCCTTGCAATTTTCTGGCGCATAAACGGGGAAACGGGGAACAAAAAACATACAATTCAACGAGGTGTCCAGAAATACCTCCCTTTCGAAGAAGAATTGCCCACCACCTGTGTAATTGCTGCACAAGTATACACTAGTGGCCACCGTGACCTTCGAGGGAACCTCAAGCGACAACCCCCCTTCGAAAAAGGGCCGCTCTGGATCCGTACAGCGCTACATGCGTTGAAATCCTGCTTCTCTTATCACAATCGAAGTATCACTCGAGAACTCCATGTTGAAAAAGAACAGTCCTACATATTGTTGCAAGATGCATTTCAAAAACCATTGCGCGAAGCGCTGAGGCGAAAGCTCCGTGTTCGAAACGACCAGTGCCCAATCCCTGCCGCTGCTGCAAGCTTTGAAGTCAAACGTGCGCAGAGCTAAAGCGAGAGCCAAACTTTGAAAAGGAACTGCCTTCCATCCCTGAAGCCGTTGCAAATATGTCAAAGGAATGTGGGCGGCGAGAGCCACATGCTGACCTCCCCCTTCCACCTTTGAAGCTCATACTGGCTTCAAGCTTCAGGCGATACGCCCAGCCCGCGCTACTGAGCAGGGAAAGGATACGCGAAAGGCAAAGGGGTGGAGGATCAGGAGGAGGAGGAGTGGAGGAGATTCTCTCTGGAAAGGGGGCTCCTCGGCGATTCAAGCAGACAAGTTCCTCGACGATCTGTTTATGCAATGGCTCTTCGATTCAAGCTGACACTTCTACAGAAAGTGAACTGGTGTTTAGATCCTGCCACAACTCAACTTGTGTCTAAAATTGCTGCGGTGAGCGGCGCAGGGAAGAGAGCGCCGGCACACACACGCAGCCACCTACCGCCCCAACCAACCTCCATGGAAGCCATATTCAGTGCGAAAAATCTCATTCAAATTATTGATTTTTCGGGCCCTGTCCGAAGCCATCCGCCCCCGAAGAGATGGCAGATAGCTCCGCCAGGCCACCCTCACGGGGGAAACCTGCAAGCCCGATTCGCCCAGCATTCGCTGGAAAAAAGGGTTGGAATTGAAAACGCTAACTGCTTTAGCGATTAGTTTACACCAGTGGGGGTGAAACGGAAGAATCAACCACACTGGGGTGCAAGTCTCCCTTGGGCGCGGGGGGCTCCTGGGAAAAATACCCTCCAACAGAGATGAATTGAAGCATGCGTTGGTGAGCCGATTTCTGAATTCAAGTTTGACGTCCTTCTCCTGGCTGGTGTGGCTGCAAAATGCTAGCATGGTCTGGAGCATGGCCCTGGGCCAGGACCGGTGCACAGACCACGGGTGCGCACTCGTTGACGCCAGTGGGATCGTCAAAGTTGTGATCTTAAACGCTGGCTTTACAGAAAAAGCTCCTCCTGCGATGCAAACCGACAGTTGGAGCCAATGCGACTCCTTGACATGCCCTTCGTCCAAAACCAAACGGAAATATCTGGATCGGTGTTGCATGATACGAAGAAAGGCACTGAACTTTGCAAAGTCACGATATGCAATCAAAATGTCGTCCTTGAACCTCATGTAAACAGATACCTGGAAATGCATGCGTACATATTGCGAGCACGCCCAGGATTCTAAACGGTTTGCAAGGGCCACATCTGCCACTTCCCCAGAATGGATCAATCCCATGCCAGAGCCCACAACGACTTGGTGCCTGTGGTTTGGCCAGTGTGGTGATGACACGTACTGATGCGCAAGTAGTAACTGCAAAGCACGCTGAACGAGTGCTTTCTGAGCGCCTGTCATGTGAGACGTCGCATCCTGTATTAACTCGTCCATGGACCCAGACATGAAGTAGTCCTTGATGTCAATTTTCGCCAAGCGGGTGCCTGGCGCAGCGTGGCGGCCACGAAGATGCCGCGCAGCATCGACAGCATCGCGGACCAACCAGGGCAGATCGGAAAGATGTCTTCGAAGAACTCCCGATACCCACTTGGATAGCCCAGCGAAGGAATACTGTGCGCTACAATGCAATGCCCGGAACGTCACTGGATTCTTGTGGGTCTTGCACGTCTTGGCAAGACGAGCTGTTAGAGAAGCTCCTTTGATGTACATGCTGCGGATGATCTGCCCCGAAAGCCCCTCTACCCCCTCGTAGTCCTCGATGTCTCTTGCCACGCGAGCGTACTTTTTCCAGACATGGGTGAAATCGACATCGAACTCATCCAAGCTTTTGTACACGTCTGTGGTGAGTATGCCGAGGTCAATGCGCCTGTCGTCCATGAGCCGGACGAGCGTGAAGCCGACCTCCTTGTCGTTCGGCACAGCCACCATGTTGGTGCGGCGCAGCAACGAGAAGGCCAGCTTGACCAGGGGCAACGTGTTGGTTGGTCTGCTTCGGTGGCTAAGCTGCGACTTGCTTGCCGCTGCCGCCACGGCCTTGCGGAGGCCGTAGATCCAACAGTCCAGAGAGGGAGTGGACATCTTGTTGAATTCGGGGGTCTTCGATCCTTTCAGCTTGATGTACGCAGAATCACGGCGACTGCCATGGAACCATCTCCATTTGAATTTGTTGGCAAAGGTGCGAAGGTCATCAGCCAGCAGCTGATGATTCGGCATGGCTTGAGAAGCAAATATGAATTTAGGATTGAACGTGCTCAATAGCCAGAGGACTGGCCAGGGAACGTCGACGGCGTCGCGGAGCACTCCAGCAGGATGCTCGAACACCTTGACGCGCCCCGCCACTGAAGAATACCGCATTAACGATATCCATGTGGCCACGTTTGCCCCAGACAACAAGCGCAAGATCATGCGAGTCTGGGCCGAAGAGCTCCTCACTTCTTTCCGCGCTTTCCTTTGCCTTTCTTGCCATAGCCTTTGCCTTTCCCACCTTTTGGCTTGCCTTTGCCCTTCCCCCTGCCCGCGCCCTGTGGTTTGGGCGGCGTGCTGCGGGAAGCTGTCTGTTGCTTCCCCCGGGCTCCCCCGGGGGGTCCGCCGTTTTTTGCCAAGGCTTCGACGAACTTGGCTGTGTGTTCGTGGCCGGCGGTTGCACCGCCTGTCCCGGGAAGGTCTTCCACGACCATCGAGTCCTGGGCCGCCATTGCCTTCTGAACTGCAGCCTCCGCGATGTGTTCCACAGCGTTCTGGAAGAGGGACTCCGGCTTGGTCTGCAAAAGTTGCTGCTCCTTCTGCTCTTCGGCTCGCCGGTGTTTTTCGAGCGCGTCCCGCTTGCTGGCTTCAGTTTTCTCCACTTTCAGCACGGCCCGGCGGTAGAGTTCCTCCACCTTCTCGGCCCGCATCTCAGGGCTGACCTGCTTCATGAGGGGCTCCTCCAGGCCTAAATCTGAAGCTTGAGACGAACAGGCTTTGTCCATGATGTCTTCGCACGTCTTGGCAAAGACGCTCTTCTTGGACATTTCTGCTGCGTTAGCGGAGGAAGACTCCAGAGCCTCCACGTCGATGGCCCTCAACTCATGAGCGACCCATCTGTGCAAGGCAGCTTTAGCTTCTCTGCGGGTAAACCCCTTGGGAATCGTACATAACTGACCGGACGGCAACGCAACAGACACGTCCGTCGATGCAGCTGTGCTCCAAGGAGCGTCCAATTCCACGTGGTGGGCTGGGCTTTTGAATGGCCTCATCCCGTTGGGGTAAGACCCTTGAGCGAGAAGCTTGACGTCTTCAACTGCCTTTGCATGCATTGCCTTCGCCTTCACTGATTTACCCAAATTCTGCTCGAAATCGTACGTCACCTTATCCAAACTCTTGTTCAAAGAAGCTGGGAAACTCTTGAAGAATGTATTACTGCCAACGTTGCCCTGTGCTGCCTCTGGCGTGGCGGTGCCTCCAGTTGCACCTCCCACATCCCGATGAGAAGCAACTTGCAGAATGGCCTGCTGGAGGGCCTGGAAGTTCTGCTGATTTTGCTCGTTCATGGTGTGGAATGCTGCGATGAAAGCTTCGTTCTGCCTCGTCTGGGCCGCCACCTGCTCCCGGAACGTCTCGAGAATGGTCTGGACGGACTCCGGGGGGGGCGGCGGCGGCCGCGGTGGTTGCCGCGGCGACTGGCCAGCGGCCTGCCTGCCTTGCGTCGCATCGCTCGGGTGGGCCCCTTTGGGAACCTTCGGTGGCCCCTCATCAATCGACGCGATGGCTCGAGCTGCACTGGGTTGGGAACTGCTGCCGACACCGGGAGAATGCATGATAGACTCACTCTGGAAAGGGGGCTCCTCGGCGATTCAAGCAGACAAGTTCCTCGACGATCTGTTTATGCAATGGCTCTTCGATTCAAGCTGACACTTCTACAGAAAGTGAACTGGTGTTTAGATCCTGCCACAACTCAACTTGTGTCTAAAATTGCTGCGGTGAGCGGCGCAGGGAAGAGAGCGCCGGCACACACACGCGCGCGCACACACACGCGCGCGCACACACACGCGCGCACACGTGCACGTGCAGCATCAATCACTCTCACCGCTGCTGTCATCACACTGCCTACCTGCACGTGGGCACGCGTCAACATCCTCAGTGCGGAGTGCGGCAGACACAGCTGCAATCGCCACGCGCTCCATGGCACAAGAGAGACGGACGCATTGGGCGGCAGCCGCGGACGGCGGCGGGTCCTCCCCAGAGGAGGCCCCCAAACTTCCCGGTGCTGGCCCGCGCGCCGAGCCCCCGCGAGGTTGCCTCGTCGTCTCCAGAGCCCTCGCCCGTGAGGTTGTCGCCGGAGTGCCTGGCGGCGCCCGTTGGCGGAGGCACTCGGCTGGGCACGCGGCGTTGCGCCCCGCCGCGCCAACAACGCGCCACCTCCTCCTCCTCCTCCTCCTCCTCCTCTTCCTCCTCCTCCTCCTCCAGGTCTTCCGTAGTCCTCCTAGTCCTCGTCGTCCTCCTATTCCTCCTACTCCTCCTACTCGTGCTCGTCCTTGTCCTCCTCGTCCTCCTTGTCCTCGTTCTCCTCCTCCTCCTCCTCCTCCTCCTCTTCCTTCTCCTGCTCGTCCTGCTCGTCTTCCTCGTCCTCTTCCTGCTCCTCCTCCTCCTCCTCTTCTTCCTCCTCCTTCCCCTCCTCTTCTTCCTCCTCATCTACTCCTGCTTCTCATCCTCCTTCCCTGACTTCCTCGCGTCGTGTAAAAATACACCACGGGAAGCTGTTCACAATTGTCGCCGTCTGGGGGCCTGGGACAGCCAAACACCTACTCAGGATGAAAAAACTGCCCCAAGGAAGGTGGGCCAGATCTCCAGTGAGCCTCGCTGTGAAAATAACACGATGTCGGATGTCTGGGTTCTTTCGCTTGTGGCGAAGCCTTTCGGGAAGGCCAAGCATTACCATGTGTAAGACTTTTAGATCCAATTACACGCGGCCCCTCCGCCATCACCATGGTTTCGAATGTAATGGTTGAGAGCCTGAACATTTAACCTCACCGCCTGGTCCCATCACTACGTCCTTGGACTCCTCATGCTGATCCCTTTCCTCCTCCTCCTCCTCCTCCTCCTCCTCCTCCTCCTCCTCCTCCTCCTCCTCCTCCTCCCCGTCCCCCTGCTCCCCCTGTTCCTGCTCCTGACCCTCCTCCTCCTTGTCAGCCTCCTCCTCCTCCTCCTCCTCCGCATCCTTCTCCGCCACCTCCACCTCCTCCCTCTCCTCGGCCTCCTCCTCGGCGTCCCTCTCGAGACACCCCCAGAGGCCAGAATGAAGAAAAACACTTGGGCGCGCGATGTCCCTCAATCTCAGCAGCAACACCACAAACACGACTGTCATAACCACCACCATCACCCCCACCACCATCGCAATGACCATAGCCATCACCACCAACACACCCATGTTCATCATCATCAGCATCATCATCATCAGCATCATCATCATCATCATCATCATCATCATCATCATAACTATCATAATCAACGTCCGCATCATCAACATCATCATTCATCACCACATTCATCGTCCATCATCAACATCACCATCATCACCATCGTCGTCGTCATCGTCCCCGTCGTTGACGTAGTCGTCGTCGTCGTCGTCGTCGTCGCCATTGTCGACATCACCATCATCATCATAACCACCTAATCACCACCATCACCACCATCGCCACCGACATCACCCTCACCATCATCACCACCACCATCAACATCACCATGACCACCATCATCACAACCATGTCCACAACCAGCATCATCATAATCATCATCAGCACCATCAGCATCATCATCATCATCATCATCATCGTCGTCAACATCATCATCACCACCATCATCAGCATCATCATCACCATCACCAACAACATAACCATTACCCTAACCATATTCCTCAAAATCACCTCCACGATCAACACCACCATCACCATCACCGTCAGCATCGTCATCGTCCTCATCATCGTCACCATCGTCGTCAGCATCATCACTTTCATTACCATCATCATCACTATCAACATCAACATTACCCTCACATGCGTCATCATAATCACACCACCGTCACCATCACCACCATCAGCACCACCATAACCATCAGCACCATCACCTTCATCATCAGCATCCTCGTCGTTGTGGTCACCGTCGACATCACCATCACAGCTTTCATCAACACCATCACCACCACCACCATCACCATCACCCTCAACTACATCATTGTATTCATCTCCACCATCACCACCATTCGCATCGCCATCGCCATCAGCATCATCGTCGTCGCCGTCGACAGCAACATCCTCACACGCAGAATCACCTCCATTACAATGACTCTCACCATCGCAATCGATACCACCATCACCCTCACAAGCGCCATCATCACAATCACCGTTACCATCATCAGCATCAGCATCATCATCATCGTTATCACCATCGTCGTCAACATCATCATCTTCAGCACCACCATAACCACCATCACCCTCCCCCAGACCAGCGCCAGCGTCATCACAATGTCAGGCACCATCACCACCATCAACAACATCATGACCATCCGCACCACCATCACAACCATCAGCACCACTATCACCACCAGCACATTCACAATCGTCACCATCATCATCGTCATCGTCATCATCGTACTCGTCGTCCTCGTCGTCGTCGTCAACACCATCATCACCATCACCATGACCTTCACCACCATGAACATCACCGTCACCATCGACATCACAATCTCCCTCACCAGCGGCATCATACTCGCCCTCACCATCACCGTCACCACCATTCAGAATCAGCATCGTCACCGCCATCACCATCATCATCATCACCATCGTCGTCGTCGCCGTCATCGTCAAATGCATGATCACCACCATCACCATCATCACCTTCATATCCGTCAATACCACCATCACGACCAACATGAACAACACCCTCACCAGCGTCATCATAATCACCCACACAATACCATCACCATCAGCAGCAGCATCACCATCACCATCACTGCAAGAAACATTGCCAGCCTTATCATGATTGTCATCGTCGCCATCGTCGTCGTCAACCTCATCACATGCATCGCCTTCACCACTATGAGAACCACAGTCACGAGTAACGTAACCATCGCCCTCATCACCCACATCGCCATCAGCATTATCGTCGTCGTCAGCACCATCACCTCTACCAACGTCGTCGCCATTACCATCATCACCATCACCATCACCATCATTGTCATCATCATCATCATCATCATCATCATCAGCATCATCATCATCATCATCATCATCATCATCATCATCATCATCAATTGCGTCCTCAGAATCACCTCCACCACCATCACCGCCATCAATACTACCATCACTATATCACTCCCACTACCACCAGCATCAACATCGTCGTTGCCGCCGTCTGCATCATCATAACCACCATCTACATCTCCAGCGCCATCCTCATCATCACCATCACTATGACCATCACCCCTACCCGCGTATTTTTGTTTATCTCGCCTGGTGCAACGTGGCAAGTGCCACGGAAGCGCTCACAGATAGCCACAGGCATGGCGTCTGAGGAAAATTGGAAGTATACCCCCGAAGTGGCGACACGCCGGCGTCCACCCGGCTAGCGTGGACATTAGAAGTATACAAATAGCCAAGAAAACTGTACAACCACATCGGGTAACAAAGATGCGCGATAAAGAACTCTCGTGGTGAAACGCGGTGGCAGCTGAACCAAGACCTTAGGCTCAGCAGGTCAAAAGGAGGAGGAGGAGGAGGAGGAGGAGGAGGAGGAGGAGGAGGAGGAGGAGGGAGGAGGAGGGGGAGGGGGAAAACTGCAAAAAATCCGCGGGCGACGGCGGGAACGCCGCGCGCTGGACAGCCTGCAGGATTTCTCGCGCGGGCGCGCGGCCTCAGAGCTGCTGGGCGAGGGCAGGGGGAGAGGAGGAGGGGGAGGGAACAACATCGCGACGTTGTCTCTGCGGGCAAGCGAAGAGCCTCGAGAAAAAACGCCAAGGCAAGGCGAATCGCTCACAATCTAGCTACCTATATAGCTAAAGAGTCTCGACTCCAGTGAGCCGGAGGAGGAGGGGGAGGAAGGAAGGAAGGAAGGGCAGAGCGGCGGACGGGGGCACACGGGGGCGGTCGTCGTGTCGTCGTGCGTCAGGCCCCCTCCGCTGGAGGCGCCGCCGGCGCCGCCGCCGCAGCAGCAGCGGCCGCCACGGGGGCTGCCGCGGCTGTCGCCACCGCCGCCTCCGCCATGCCAGCAGCAGCAGCAGCCGCGCCAGAGGTAGCGCCAGGCTCTCGCGGGACGGCCCCTGGGTGCCCGCGCCGCTCCGCCACGGCCTGGTCCGAGGGTTCTAAGTCGGCCGCATCATCCTCGTCCAGGGCCAACGGCGTGCACGCTCGCGTAATAAGAATCAACCCCATCATCACCATCACCACCGTAATCACCACCACCATCATCATCATCATCCTCGCCATCACCATCATCAGTAACATCAGCATCGTCAAATCGTCTTACATCCGTTGGATTAACCCCAAGTGCTCGGTCTACCGCATCGTAAAGGTGACCACATTCACCATCTTCTTCTCCGTCGCCAACATCATCACCATCATCCTTACCAGCGTCTCCCCCATCGCCATCAGCACCATCGGCACCACCATCATCATTGCCATCATAATCATCATCAGCACCATCATACTCATCATCCGCATCATCATCTCCATCATCATCATCGTCGTCGCCGTCGTCGAAATCAGCATCATAATCAGCAGTACCAGCTTCATCCCTATCAACATCACCATTTCCAGCACCCTGACCTGCGTCGTCATGTCCACCTCCACCATCGCAATCACCACCATCAGCACAACCATCACCACCAGCACGTCCACCATCATCACCGTAAGCAGCATCACCGTCGTCGACAATAACAAGAACATCACAATCATCAGCATGTTCAGCATCATCATTATCATCTTCGTCATTTTCATTTTCATCACAATGTTAATCACCATCACCGTCAACGTCACTATGACCCTCACCAGGATCAATGAAATCACCCCCACCATCACCATCAATGGATCAGCATCACCCTGACCATCACCTGCACCATCACCATCTCCGTCGTCGTCGCCGTCATCATCATCATCATCACCATCATCACCTTCATCACCGTGATCATCACCATCAACATCAAGACCACCATCATCCTCACCAGCGTCATCATAATCACCTCCACAATAACCATCACAACCATCACCAGCACCTCCATCACAATCACCACCATCACCATCATCACAAGCTCTATAACCGTCACCACCATGATCACCACCAACATCATCACACTTATCACCGTGATCATCACCATCACATCCAACAGCACAATCAACCTCACCAGCGTCATCATAATCACCTCAAAATCCATCATGACTTTCTTACCATCAGCACCAATATCACTATCACCATCATCATGGCCATCACCCTCACCTTCACCATCATCATCGTCAGCATCATCACGGTCCTGGCCGTAGTCGTCGTCGTCATCATCATCACCATCATCATCACCTTCAGCATCACCCTCACCAGCAGCATCATGATCGGCTCCACCATCACCATCACCATCACCATGACCATCACCATCACCACCATCAGCACCACCACCACCATTACCATCATCATCACCACCATCATCATCAGCAGCAGAAGCTGCAGCAGCAACAGTGCCATCACCAGCATCATCATAATGCGTAGGTTCGCACGCGTCATCAGCATCATCACCGTCGTCACCAACATCACCACCATCACCACCACCATCACCATGGTCATCACCATCACCAACACTATCACGTCATCATGATCACCATCACCATTCCCATCACCACCGTCATCACCATCACGAAATTCGCCGTCATCACCATCACTCCCCGCTCCTGGCGCGGCCGCCCGGCCTGATCCCCGGCGCCTCCAAATTGCTGAAGAACACGGTGTCCACGTGCCGCCCTGCCTCGGCCAGGCCCGCGCCCGCAGACGCCCGCGCGGGGAGCAAACCCCCAAACAACACGGGCTGTTCTTTCTCCCCGCCGGCGACGGGCTTCTCCCTTCGGCCCTGGACGATCGAGGGCGGAGGTATTCGGACGCGCTCAGCGAGCGCTCGGGCGTCGTGGTGCCCTCTCTGGGCCCCCGGGGGACGTCGGGGAGCTATGGTTGGACCCAGGGCGGAAGCAGCACTCACAAAGGCCCAAGCGTACTGGAGTCTTCGCGCGACCACAAGGAATGCCAAATCCACCGACCCTGTCGGCATGCATGAGGGGTCTGTCTGGTCCCGTCGACGGGACGCCTTTTCTGTTGATCCTTCCTCGTCGGGAGAGATAGAGCACTATCCCGTCGTCGGGGGAGGGAGTCCGGGGATCGAGGGAGACCGACCCACGTCGTAGTCACGTCAAAGGGAAGCCCATTCCCTTTGTCCCTTCCCCGGCGGGGGGGTGTTCTGGGGGAGGGGGGGGGGTCCGATTCGCATCGCCTCTGGGGGTCCTCCTCTTCCACGCTGGTCCTTCTCGTGCGCGCCCGTCCTCCTCGGGTCATCCTCCCCAGATGGGGAGGAGTCCCAAGGGAGGGAGGGGAGTCAGATACACATCCTTCCCTGGGGGTCCTCCTCCCCCTCCCCTCCCCTCTCCCACGCCGGTCCTCCGGTCCTCCTCCCCAAGGGGGGGGGGGTCCCAGGGGAGAGTCCTTTTCCTCCTCCTCCTCCTTCTCCTTCTCCTTATCTCCTTCTCCTCCTCCTCCTTCTCCTCCTTCTCCTCCCCCTCCTCCTCCTCCTCCTCCTCCCCCTCCTCCTCCCCCTCCTTGTCGTCGTCGATGTCTTTCAGGGTCGGCGGCACCCGCCGTCTGGCCTTCACAACTTCACAATAAGGAACGAAGGGGCCTTTCTGGCCACGGCGAGCCTCGGCAACGAATGAATTCCCCCACCTTGGTCTGAAGGACTTGCGTGACAACTAAATCCCCCTCATGAACCCAAAGGTGGCCCATGCCGCAGTAGGATCTAGGGCGGAACCAAAACATATAAGGCCCAGGCCGTCTACCTCCCAGTGTTCATCCTCATCCTCCTCCTCCTCGCCCTCCTCCTCCTCCTCCTCCTCCTCCCCGTCCATGTGCGAGCGGGGAGGAGTGGTCCACGTTGGGCCTGCTCGTCGAGCACAGTGTGTGGGGAACGTTTGAATTGTGGGCCTCCCTGGTGGCCCAGGTCTGTCCGAAATCGGCGCGTTCCCCAAAACGTCGACCAGAGCATTCCCAACATGATAGAGTGCGGGCACAGCACAAACGAGAAAGCGCAGCGGCAGCGGTACTCGCGGCAGAAGGTGCGGGCCAAGAGAAGGAATGGTGAGAAACGTAAGAAGAAGCATGATAAAGCAACGAAATAATAAGCATAACAAAACAACCCACAAAAAGAATACGAATCATAATGACACAAGTAAGAATAGTACTTAGTAGAAGAAGCTGAAGAAGAATAAGCGAGCCCCCACGGGGGCCAGATCATCGGCAACACCGTTGAACTCTCAAGCGCCATTATCCACTATCCATCATGTCCTCACATTCACTCCCCTTCTCGTGTTTCCTTTGCCCCCGCGTTAGATGGTAGGCCCGTAGCGTATCCTCCATCGCTGATCCTCCTTCTCTCCCTCCTCCACTGCTCCTCTTCCACCTCCTCCTCCTCCTCCTCCTCCTCCTCCTCCCTCCCTCCTCCTCCTCCTCCTCCTCCTCCTCCTCATCCTCATCATCCTCCTCATCATCATCATCATCATCATCATCATCATCATCATCATCATCATCATCATCATCATCATCATCATCCTCTCTCCTCCTCCTCCTCTTCCTCCTCCTCCTCCCTCCTCCTCCTCCTCTTCTTCCTCCTCCTCTTCTTCCTCCTCCTCCTCTTCCTCCCCATCGCGACGCCGATTGATGCAACCACGTTGCATACAGCACGCGCCGGCCAGGGCGGACAGATCCGCTTCCCATCATGGGGGCTGTTAGCGCACCCATAGGATGCAGGCTCGGGCGCGACCACGGCAAGCCCCTGAAGTGTCTGGCCAGGCAAACGCTACCACAACTTACGCGAGACCGACTTTTTGCAAGCCCTAAAAGGAGAGGAGGGGGAGAGGAGGAGGAGGACGAGGAAGGAGGAGGAAGGAACGAGGCACACCAAAAAAACCCTGCGTGCGTACGCCATCGGGGCTCTGCCCTCAGCACTCGCACAATTTACCCTCACAGGAAGAAAAAGGGCTACCCCCCATGAAAGCTGGCAAAAGACAGCGCGTCTGCTGAAGGCGGCTCAGGTCACAAACAACGAAGCTGGAAATCAGCGGCGGCGGCGGCACGGCGAGGAGGAGGAAAGGAGGGAAGAAGACGGGATCAACTGGCGCCCTACAGAGCCACAACGTGCTTTTGCTGCTACCTCCGTCTGAGAGGTTGTTGCAGGTGGCCCCCACCACGTTGAACGCGTGCCTAGGCAACTGACTAGCAGAATAGGCGCCTCGCTGGCCGACTACCGGAAAGCGCCGTCCGACTAGACGTCACCGCATTCGAGGGGCACATGTATGTCTACCAACGTGGTTCATATCGACGCGCTGGCATCCCCCAAAGCTGTGGAGCAGCGCAAATGCACGATTTGATAGCGAAACCGTCTCCCGCAGTGTGCGAGAGACGTGTGCACAAGGAGAAACTGCCCGAATTTCTGCCCGGGGAGATGGTCAGCAGACTCTCGCTGGAGCTCTCGGCCGCAAAGCGCCCAGCCGGCCTGGGTCCAGCCGTCCTGGGTCCAGCGCGGCGTGGGCCTGGGTCCTCCTCCTCATCCTCCTGTTCGTCCCTCTCTTCTCGTCGTCCTTCTCCTCCTCTCTCGCCTCCTGCTCTCTCTCCTCCTCGCTCTCTCCTACTCCGTCTCTCCTCATCCATATCTCCTCCTCCTCCTCCGCCTCCTCCACTTGGCGCTGGAAATGTTTGTTGCTGCCGATGATTAACATACGTACCACCTGATCCTCGACCTGCCGTGCCAGGGCCCACTTCATCATTTTCTGGCAAAGCACGGGTGGAAGGATGCCCCAGAGCCGAGCTTCCCCTAGGCACACGCCGCAACGGTCTGGACGGCCGACCTTTCAAATCGAGCGAAAAGTGCGTACGAGAGGTGCCGCTTGCATAGCAAGCGGAGGAACGGAGCGGGCTGCGGCGGCTCCTGCGGATTACCCTACAGCGCCAACCTCTATGAATTGGTAGTACGAGACATTAGTACAATATACTTTCGGCTGCAACGAAAAACTGGCTATGGCCCCGGGCCCGGGGGAAGCCACCACTACGACTAGGATTGCGAAGATATTAACACTCGCGCCCCTGGAACAGTGAGACGGGGGAGACAAGGAGGAGAAGCGGGGGAGCAAAACGGGAAAGAGGAGCGCGGAGACGTGCTCAGAAAGCTTGTGCCAGGGCAGACACACTAAACCCTGAGGGCCGGCATGGCATACAACAGGTAAGCACAAGCTGCCGAATTGCGAAGATAGCTCACATGGTACATGGTAAGGCTGCGCGCCAGGCCTGCAGTCACCCCAACTATGGGGCCGAGGGCCGACGGCTCACAGGACTCCGAAGGGCGATGCGCCTGGCAGGCCAGCTAAGCTCCCCTGGCGGTACACCAACGCCTCAGATAACCTGCCCGCCGGTCGACGAGGAGGCCGACGCCTGGAGGCCAAGATATAACCTCCAGCGAACAAAACATGGCGCTGGAAATGTGGCTGGAAATGTGACTCTCGCATTAGCGCCGCGCGCATGTGCCTTTACAGTCGGCAGCGTCTTCACGGATTGGGGACGGCTTCTTTTCAAAATGCGGCCCTCGCATTCGATCACCGCACATTCGCGTTGAACGTTTGCAAAGATTTCACGTACTGAGGGCGTGCCGTTTTCACAGTATCTCGCCTTAGCGCCGAGCACATTCGGTTTAAATGTTTGCAATGATTTCACAAGCTCGCATGGTTAACGTACCCGAAACGGCGTGTTAGAACGATTCAGGATTGGTTGCCTCCCAACGAGGCACCTCCCCAGTGGAAATGAATCCTTCCAGGGGTCTGCGAAGAGGGAGCTTGTATGGAGAGCTTGGTTCCCCCCATCGTTGATGAGTCTTGGATTTGCCTGGTCCTCCTCCTCCTCCTCCTCCTCCTCCTTCTCCTCCTCCTCCTCCCCCTCATGTTTCGTGCGAGGTGGTCGTGGGTTCACCCCCCAGATCAGACCAGCAAAGATGGGCATGGCTCTCGCGCGCGCGCGCCATCCGTTCTCTGTTTTCGGGGTTCTGTGCAACTCCAGACCTGCGAGCCGCGGCCTCTGCCCCGGGCCACACTAACGGGAAGCACGAACGGTGTGGCATTGCCGCTCCTGGCCACTTTCGTGGAACCACGTGCGGCAGAAGCACGACAGACCAGGACGCCCTGTCACGAGATGGGGGACAAGGGAGGAAGAGGAAGGACGAGGAGCAGGGGGAGGGAGGGAGTGTCCGATGTCCCCAAAGGGCAGAACCGAACGCCCGTCCTGGGCCGGCGAAACACGCCCTGGCACATAACACTGCCAGAAAGTCTCCCTTTGCGTACGGGCACACGTGTGCAAAAAGAAGCAGGCACAAAACGAATCCGTCCCCCGGCCCCCTATTATTGGCCAGTCTCCAGTAGCGCCGGAAACGCCGTGCCTTATGGGGGGGAACCAACGATAGGAAGCAAAGGGCAGGACCCGAGCGGGGGAAGGCCCCATCAGGGCCGGGGTCGGTCCGATTCTGGGCCTACCCAGCAAGCCAACACGGAGCGGTACCCAGCGCCAAACTCTCATCCTAACGCGTCAAGCGGTGTGCCCGCGGCTAAAAGCATTCCAATCAAGGTTGTTGTAAGCTGTGAACCGTGGGTGCCCGCCTCCGCATCATCATCATCATCATCATCACCACCACCACCACCACCACCACCACCACCACCATCATCATCATCATCATCATCATCATCATCATCATCATCATCATCATCATCATCATCATCATCATCATCGGCGGAACACCTCATGCAAGTGGTGCCGCACGGCGCCCAGGCTGCACCGCTTGGCCGCGGTGGCAGGGGCTTTGAACATACACTGGCCTGACGGCGAGGAGGGAGGGGAAAGCTGGCCAACTGTACGTAAAAAGAAGACTGCTCCGAAGATGGGCTGAGACACTCCGCGCAGTGCGTATCACAGCGCCACGCGGGCAAGCGCGTAAGCCACAGCACTCGCAGGAGACGGGGAAGGAGGAGGATGAGGAGGAGGAAGAGGACGAGACGGAAGAGGAAGGGGAAAACAGGGCAGCTGTAAAAAGAAGACTGCCCCGAGGATGGGCCGGGATCCCCCGGCCAGCGCATATCACAGCGCCAACCGCGCGAGCGCGTGAACCCCGGCACTCGCAGGAAGAACTGGTGAGGAGGAGGAGGGGCGGCAACTGACGGCAGCACCAGCTCCGGGTCTTCAAAAGCACAAAGTATCTCCTCCTCCTCCTCCTCCTCCTCCTCCTCCTTCTCCTTCTCCTCCTCCTCCTCCTCATCATCATCATCATCATCCACCTTCTCCTCCTACCCCTACCCCCCCCCCTCTCCCCTCCCCCACCCCTTCTCCGCATCGACGCTGCTGGCGGCCTGGTCGATCAGGACTGCCGACACGTCCAGGTCGATGTTTCCCTCGCCGCGCGCGCGGGGTGTCGGCGGCGGAGGGGGGGGAGGAGAGGGTCTGAAGGAGGGTGGGCGGAGGGGCAGGGGGCGGGAGGGCTGGGGGAGAAATGGGGGGGGAGGGGGAGGGAGAGTAGGGGTGGGGGCGGCGGCGGAGGGGAGGGGAGGCGGGGAAGGCGAGGAAAGCAGGGGTGCAAAGGAGCAGAGGGATGGCGTGCTGAGGCGAGGGGAGGGGACAGAGGCAAAGATAAGTGGGTCAAGCAGGGGCATCGACAATGACTATAATCAAAGCATGCATTGAGGACGGGTGGTGAGGACGCAAGAGCCTCGATGACCGAAACTGGGATGTCTTCTGGCGGAGGGCGACCAACACCCGAGTGGAAACGGCAAAGGGCGGGACGCAGAGACAAGGACACAAGGGTACCTTAGAAAAGGCACGTGTCCTCCCAATGCGCGTTGACGCGTTGCTCCCGCGCCACTCAACGTGTTGGAATTCCCCGAAGACCTTCGAATCCCGCCCCCTCCGCTTCGGAACGTGCCCCTACTGGTTTCTGTTGTTCATGCCAGTCCTGGGTACACCCTGACACCGTAACTCAAAAGGGGCCAGGCTGAGGTTGGGCATGTCCTCCTACAGGACGATTTTGCACGAACACATACACATATTCGAAGACTAATGACAAATAATCAATATTGGTCAACAAGACATCCCCAGACTACTTTTGAATATTCCTCCTGCAGAGGGACGAGCCCGACTGAAGGCCAGGCTGACGGAGCCTGTCGGACGGGTCTGGCGGAGCGGGCGGGCGGGGGCGTGCGGGACCTTCACGCAGGCGGGTCGGGGTCGGGCGAGCGGACCCTGACGGGCGGGTCGGGCGAGCGGACCCTGACGGGCGGGTCGGGCGGGCGGTCCCGAACGGGCAGGTCAGGCCGTCGGGCCCGCACGGGCGGGGCAGGCAGGCGGGCCATCATAGCGCGATGCCTGGATAAATCTGGGAGAGGTACCCCGGCGAAAGCGCGATTCCCAAGTAAGTTGTGAGGAAGTCCTGGGCGAGGGTGCAATTCCTGCGAGGCCTGAGCGCGATTCCGAATCAAAGGAAGTCCCAAGCGAGAGCACGGTTCCTGAGCAGCGAGAGCGCGAGTCCTGAATAAAACAAGAAGGAGTCCCAAGGAAGAGCGATTTCTTGAGTAAGTTGCAAGGAAGGCTCAATGGCGCGATTCCTGAGTGAATTGTGAGGATGTCTCAGGCGGGAGCCGTTGTCTCTGTAGCCGCGGGTCCAGGGGCGCAGTTTGAGTCTCCAACTTCCACTGGTAGAAAACACGGTTCGAGCGCCAGTAAGGGCAATTAATTGAAAAACGCATATGGTTACCAGTGAAAGGATCAACACTCATCAGCGAAATGATGAACACTTATTTTCCGGAAATAAGAATTTGACGACAATCCGCACCGCGGAACCCTATTACAGCCACGCGCCCAAGGACAGTACGTACGAGACCGTTCTGTCCCCTTACTCTGATTTTCGGGTGGCTGCCAATTTCTCGAACTGAAGCTGGCAATCTATCAGGGCCTGAGAAGAGTTCTGTTCGGCGCGCTCGACCACAGCCGGACACCCTCCTTGTCGGTGTCCCAGCCCAGCGCGGCTTTGATGGGGCCCAGCCTCGGCTCAAACACACCCTCTGCATTGTGCATCTCCACAAGAGCGCTTTCTCTTCGCCGATCGCTTGCCAACCAGGCGCACACACGCACACACACAAACACAACCACACACACACACGCACACACAGACACACACACACACATACACACACACACCATCACACGCTTTGTAAAGGCGGCGGCGTGTTGCGGTTGCGCGGCGACCTCACGGTAACTTACAGAGCCTCCGAATGTTGAGTGTCGAACGGGCACCGTGAGCCTGGTGCCCCGAACCCGAAGAGGGAGGGAGCCAAGAAGAGGGAGGGATGCACATCATGGCCCAGGTATGTACGCGGACGAGGGTGGGCACAGAGCGCATTGCGAAAGAAGAAGAAGAAAAATAAGAAGAAGAAGAAGAAGAAGAAGAAGAAGAAGAAGAGGGGGCCACGAAATCTGGAGCATGTCATGACCCCGGCCGTAGGCGGCCAGGGGGTTTGAACAGGCTGGGACCCAAGAAAATCAGTCAGGAAGGGGGATGAAGCCAACTCCGCTCAAAATCGTTCCCCAGACCCTGCATGGGGTCCATCCGGTGCAATTTTTCACCCCAGATTCGTTTTCCGACAGTCCCTGGGCCCGGAAACGGCTTCCAGAGGCCGAAGAAGGCAAAAAGCTGTTTCTCTTCCCAGAACCTCAAGCTGCCTCCCCTTTTCTGCTCGCGGGAACCAATGATGGACCACCTGAAACCCCCAGCCGGCTCAAACGCACACACACACACACACACACACACACACACACACACACCGAGTCCTCAGCCTCCGCTTGGACGCCCCCGGATGAGGGCGCAGCAGGCTCCTCTCGGGCTGGGACGCGCGACGGGAGGGCCGCTAAGCGCAGGGCTCGCTGGAGCGGGGCAGGTCCGCCACGCTGCCCTCGCCAGGGAGGAGGGGCAGAGGGGGGAGGGCAAAATAGATGCGCTCGCGCCACATCTGACATCATACCCCTCTATCCCATCCCTTCCCATTGCGCTGTTTTTTCTCATCCGCGGACGCGTGTCTTAGCCGACCTGGACCTCCATTACCCCAGCAACGCACCCCGACAGCGCAAATGTGACAGATAGGGGGACCAGGGGAGGAGGGGTGGACCGGAGGGGGAGGAGAGAGGACAGGGGGCCGTTGAGGGAAGGGGGGTGGATTGAGGGAGGGAAGAGGTAGGGTACGGTGAGCACGAGGGACATACCACCAGCCAGGGTCGATGAGTAATCCAGCGCATCCGTCGTAACCTCTTGGCGGTCGTCTGGGATGGGTTGGCTGTGCTAGAACGACCGAAACTACAGAGGGGAAAGGGTGAGGAGGGGAAGAAGGGGTAGGAGCAAGAGGATTCGCTCTTTCTAGCCGCTGTATTGGCTGTCCTTCTTTTCATCTGCTCCTTCGCGCATCCATGTGCATTGGATCTCGCCAGGTGGCTGCGCACGCGGCTGCCGAACAACATAGAAGGGAGGAGGAGAGCCTGAGGGGCAGGAGGAGGACCCAGACCTCCAACGTCTAGAAAAAATACAAACACAATGCCTGTCGCTTGTTTCGGCCTCCTGCGGCTGTTTTCGGGCCCCGGGGCCATCAAGAAACGGCTCAGGAAGAAACACTTGGCCTGGGGGTTTAGAAATATGTGGTGAGGGATGACAGACAGATCGAGGTTCGAGGATAAAGGTTCCTCTTGGCCTTCGAAGCCCCCAGGGACCTCTTGGAACATGAGGGGGAACAACTAAGCAGGAGGAGAACTATGAAGGGGAGGAGGGGAAAGCGGAGGAGAGCAGTAAGAAGTGGAGGAGAGCAGCTGGAGGTGGAAGACGGCCCGAGGACTTCGGGAGGGAGGCGAAGAAGGCGAAGGCGAAGGAGGAGAGGAAGGAGGGAGAACAGGAGGAAGAGGCGGAGGAGCAGGAGGAGGCGGAGGATGGCGAAAGGAGGTCGAGGTTGAGGGGGAGGCAGTACAGCGAACGTCGCCGAGCTGGCGGATGAGGCAAATGATGATGATAGAAAAGGAAGAAGGGGGAGCAGGTAGGGAAAGGAGGGGAAGATTGTAAGACGCAGGCTCGCGCACAAGAGGGGTGGAGTGCACGTTGCAGCGCGCACAAGAGGGGTGGAGTGCACGTTGCAGCGGGAACAAGCCCACATCGAGGCACGCAGATCCTGGGTAACTTCGACGCTGTCGGCGGGCCACGAGAGAATCGGAAACCGACGCCAACTCCGATCCTTTCCCTTAGCACGCCCAGCCGTGTTGGTAGGGCGGGCCGGGCGTTTCGCCCGATATTTCCTCACCCCGGAGCCTGAAGTCTGCAACAGCTTCAAGAATAGAGGGCGGGCGGTTTTCAAAATGTGGCTCTCGCCTCAAGGCCGCGCACATTCGACTTACAAAATTGCAATGTGGCTTTCGAAATGTGGCTCTCGAAATGTGGCTTGCACATTCGCACATAGAGGGCGGGTGGCTTTCGAAATGTGGCTCTCGCCTCAACGCTGCGCACGTTCGACTGAACAGTTTGCAACAGCTTCAGCGATGGAACTTTTCCAAGTGTGGCTTTCGCCCTAGCGCCGCGCACATTCGTCTTAAGAGATCGTAGCTAATTCAGGTATTCGTAAGATTGAAGTCCCAGAAACTGTGTTCTGGCATGACCTTGGGTTGCCAGGACGCGGCAAGCACGTTGATTCAGTGTGTAAGAAGTCCCACGAGCAGTGTCCTGGCACGATTTACGGTTCACAAGGCGCACCAGTCACGTTGATTCACGGCGTTGAAGTCCCAGGAATTGCGACTTGGCCAGACTCATGATTATTCGAAGGCTGTCTCTCAATGGGGCACTTCCCGCAATGCATGTACCTTCTTGTAGGGCCTTATGAACAGGGAACTTGGAGGGAGAGTTTAGTGCAACATGTTTGATAGGTCTTGGGTTTCCACTGGTCTTCCTACTCCTCCCTCCCTCCTCCCCCACTCCGTCCTGTCCTCCCTGTCCCCCCCTGCCTCGTCCTCCCCCTGCTCCTCCCCAGCTCATCCTCCCCCTCACTCGCTCACTGACTCACTCACAACATCACGACCTCTGAGCTTGATGCGGCTGTCTAGCAAATCGGGAAACAAGATAATGTGGGCGGGCCCAGAGGAGCAATGCAGTGGGAGGAGAGGAGACGCTCCTCTCCTCCTCCTCCTCCTCCTCCTCCTCCTCCTCCTCCTCGTCCTCCTCCTCCTCCTTCTGAGGTCTTCCACCTCGGGCCCTCTTGCTCATCCTCTTGAGGCCCTCCTCCCAGTCGGGTCCTCCTCCCCCGCCGCCTCCTCCTCCTCCTCCTCCTCCTCCACCCCGTCCCCCCACCCCCCGCCCCCTCCTTGCCCTCCCCCAGCCGCATCACGAGGAGGATCGCACCCGGGCAGATGACCCTCGTGCGGACGTCCTGGGTCACCACCGTGGCAGGCCTACGAGTTGAAACGAGAGTGGACGGCCAGGTGCGCGTCAGCTTCGCTTAGGCCCACCGACTAGATCATGTTGCCTCGCGCGTGGCATCGCGCAAGGCGCGAAGCTCCCCCCGGAGAAGGAAACAGCTGTCCGTCGCAGGCTGCTGGGCGCGAGGTGCGACGAGTACATCTTTGCGCCCCTGCAGGTGGCCTCAGTGCACCGCCGTCCAGGGCTGGACCTCAGCGCTGTTTCTCGTTTTGTGTTCGTTTTGTTTTTCGTTTTGCTCTACCGGTGTTCCTGTACCTCCCTGCCGAAACGAAAAACTAAACACAGCCGAAGTCCAGCAAAACAGCGTTTAGGTCCAGCCCTGCCGCCGTCTGAGCGAGGCGGCGCATAGTGCCCGATTGCAGCAGCCACGAACATACCAACTTCCCACGCGCTGCGCAGCTCTGCGGCTGCGCCCAACCTGAAGTCGGGGCACTTCCGCCTGGCTGGAGTTCCTCGGTTGAGCAGGTTGCTGTGGACTCCACGGTCAATTGTCTTGGTGGCACGGCAGGTGCGGGGGATGAGGAGGAGAAGGATGATGAGGGGGAGGGGGAGGACCACCTCTGCGTTGACCCGTCCAACGCGTCCCAGCCTTGTCCATCGCGAAACAAGCCTTGATGCGTCGTGGTGCTCCAGGAATGACCTCCCAGCATTGCCAGCTGCCAACACATGTCCAGACCTGTTGCAGATACTCCTCATCATACACATGATCCTGCTGATCCTCGTCGTCCTTCTTCTCTACGCACCCGTGCGCCCGTAACGCCTCGTGGTTTCTGCAGCACCCCGTGTGTCGAATACTTGCAGCCCGACTGATTTTCATCGTCTGGGCTTGCACTCGCCCACCGCAGCCTGGCTGCTATGGAAGCCTGGCAGCCCCATGCATGAGCCCGCAGGGGCGCTGTTGGGGCCCTGGGGCAGCGATGGGTTACGACAGACAGTAAACCCCACTGGAAGGCCCAACCAAATGCTGATGCCTCTCAATGCGCCCGTTGCATGCGTTTGGGGTCGCGCGTCGGCAGGCCAACGAGCGCGACAGACGTCCGGAACCGGCCGCGCGCTGCGCGGAACATCGCTGACACTACGGCGACGGTTCCTTCCGCGGGGCGGCATTTAAGTCAACCAGAAACGAGTTCCCGAACACCCGGGTGCATATAGAAATACGTCCGATCATGGTTCAAGTCACAACATGGTGCATGCCGAAACGTTGCGACCAGAGCGCACATCACGAGCGCCGCTCGGCCGAACGCCCACGGCCCCGTGGCGATACCTAACGCGAAAGACAACCCACGGTGGAGAGCTCGAACACGAAAAACACAAGGGCACTCCTCCAGCGCTAAGATAGATTTGAACCCTCGTGCCAGCTGCAAAGGACACATCGGCTCTGCTCTGCCGGAGAGAATATGGCGTGGAGGAGAACTGACCCAGCCCCAGGTCCTGACGACTCGAGACCCGCACGAGCACCCTCTGCGCTCCCACCAGGTCGTCCGCACAATCTGACGCAGCCAAGCAGGAACGTCTCTATCGATCTCTCTCTCTATCTCTCTCTCTCTCTCTGACTCTCTCTCTCTCTCTCTCTCTCTTTCTGACTCTCTCTCCAGCGAGATTGGTGGTCTTTCCCCCGTGGCACCCGCTCCGACTCAGAAGCACTGCTCGCTCCACGATGCCGACCTCCATAACCAGACGAGAACAGCGAGCGGGGCGGTATGAGCAGGACGTGGTCAGACGATGATGGGGGGGGGGCTACGAGGCATCGCCCTCCCCTGTCCCCCGCTCCGTCGCCGAGCATCTCCGAGGCTGCCGGGGCTGCTTCATGCACAGCCGCTCCCGCGGACCTTCCTGACGTAGTTTCCGATGGTGGGTTCCAAGATGTCTATGAAGTGCTGTCCGTCCTGCAGGGGCGGGCTGCGGACTCTCGGTCGCCCCACTTCGCGCAGCGCCCCCCCCCCGCGATGCGCCATCATACCTTCGCGCCCTCGTGCCGCCGCCCTGGAGAGGGGCGCCTCTCCAGCCCAAGCGGCGATGCGCGAAGCGCGATCATCTTCGAGCCCCCTGGGGGTGACCTGGGGACCGCGCCGTATCGCCGATGCACCGGTGAGATGTGGCGCGAGCCTCCGAACCCAGTATGGCTGTGGCCCCACGCGGAAGGGGCCCGGGCCGCCGCACCCGCAAGGCCGCGAAAGGGCGCTTATCGGGCCCCCTGCCGAACTGGGCGTCCCGGGAAGCCCTGCCATATTGACGCGATGTGCTCCGCATGCGGGCACGGGGGAGCACAGAAGAAGGAGGAAAAAACCACATAAACGTAAACTTTTGGCGCTCCGCGCGGACTTCTTGGATTCGCGCTGGATCCCCCTTCCTGGCGCGCGGAGCGCGCCAGGGGCGGCGCCGGAGGCGCCGCCAGGGGCCCAGGCGCGGATCCGAGAAATCCGCGCGGAGCGCCACAAATTTATGCTTATGTAGTTTTTCTTCGACGAAAACACCTTCGTATCCGCAGCCTTGCGGGCTGGGCCGCTGGGCGGCGGCCCCGCGGGCACGGGGCGCTTTTCCTCGCGGCTGCCCCGCGCGGAACGCAGCCGTGCGACCGCGCATGCCCGGGATCGCGCCCCAGAATCCAAACCACGAGGGCGCGGATACGGATATATGATCCAGGGTCGAGGGCCCACGGGCCCCCCCCTCCCAGATGGTATGGTCCCAGGATTCCTCGGGCCCCCCGCCCCCCCCAGATGGTATGGTCCCAGAGACGACGACGACGACGACGACGACGACGACGGCGACGACTACGACGACGGCGACGACGACGACGACGACCACGACGACGACAACGACGGCTGCGGCGGCGACGACGCCGGCGGCGGCGGCGGCGACGACGCCGATGACGACGACGACGACGGCGACGACGACGATGACGACGACGACGGCGACGGCGACGACGACGATGACGACGACGACGACGACGACGACGAACGACGACGACGAGGACGACGAGGACGACGACGACGACGACGACGACGACGACCTCTGAACCACCACAGCACCACACCACATCCACAGGGGGGGGGGAGGGGGGCACCGCAGCGCAGCACCACGCCACGCCCACCTCTGAACCACCACAGCACCACACCACATCCACAGGGGGGGGGGGGGAATCGCAGCGCAGCACCACGCCACGCCCACAGGGGGGGGCGGGGGGGACCATCGCGCGGGGGGGGGGGGCCCAATGGCATCAGAATTTGGGGGGAGGGGAAGGGGGGGGGGGGGCAAGCCCTCGACCATATATTCGCCGCCCGTGTACTGGACCACGGCGCGTGTTCCAGTCCAGTGTCCTACACACGCCTGGGCGAAAGACAGCATTAGGTGGTGGCATCCAGACCCTACTTCCACCCACCATCGCTTCTCAAGACTCGACGGGAGGCGAGGGTATGGTTCGGACTTCGCCACGTGTTCGACGAACTCCGAACCCTACCCCCGCCGCCCATCGATATGCCTGAATCGTTGATCGGCGAGGCTAGGGTTCGGATTTCGCCGCCGGGTCTCGCTTGCTTGCCCGAAGCCTTGAGCCCACGAACGCGGTTCGTCCGTGCCCCCTTTTTTGTCAACGCTACTCCCATTGCCACGGAAGTTTAGCGGGGGCTCCAGCACAACCGCGAAAACGACGCGGCGCGTTTACAATCCGAAGCGAGGCCCTGAAAACGGACAACGGGCGCGGAGCGGCAGGCCGACAGGCCTCAGCCCCGCACCCCGCGCACCCCCACGCTTACGGAGGTGGCACATGCGGGGGGCGCCCCCCCCCCCCCCCCCCCCTGTGGAGGGGAGGCACAAAAAGGTCCCCGCACCTTAGTGCGATCCCCTTCTAAACTATTTCTCGAGCTGCGTCTGTGAAGCGGGGGGGGGGAGAGGGAGGTCGAACGGAGAGGTTGAGGAAGAAAAGGAAAGGTTCTCGGCGGCAACGGCAAAGCCTTGCACTTCACGGTTTGACGTCGGTGCTGGGGAAGCCGCCCTCAGTCCTGAACCCCCTTGTCGCCCTTGAACGCCAGCGACTCCACTCCCATGGCCACCTTCGACCTCATCGCCATGTCGTACTGGGGGCTTACGCCCACTGCGGCCATCACCTTCTTCAGCGCCACCTTCAGCGCCTCCTTCCAATCCAGAAAGTAGCTCACCGCGAAGATCCATTTGCACTCGCCCTCTACGGGGGTCTCTCCCTCGTTTCTCCTTGATACACCTCGTCGTCACGAACTTTAGCCGCTGGTCCTGCACCAACGTCCAGTAGCGCAGGAGCTCGTCCAGCGCGGCGGCCACCAGCACCGCGTCCTCCATGCCCTCCACGGCCTCCTCCGCGCGGAACAGGACGCCCAGTGCCTGCGCGTCTGGCCGCATGCCGATCAGGTTGCCCAGGAAGACCTCCTTCTCCTTCACCCTCACCTTGGCCTTGGCGCTCTCGTCCACGCAGTGCGCCAGAGCCTGGTCGAGTATGATCGCCATCTTCTGCGACGGCTTGGGTGGAATCACGAAATTGTCGCGCTGTGCCGCCCTCGCCATGTCCTCGCGCTGCTGGTCCAAGCTGCCGAGCGCCGCGCCCAGGACGCCCGCCATGTCGGGTTGGTCGCCCTTGCCCTCGTCCCCGATCCCTGTGTCGATCGTCGTACTCATGCTGGCGCAGCTGCCCGCCACCGCCTGCACCTCGCTGTTCGGCAAAAACATCGCTGGCAACAACTGGCGCGAGCTCGATAAAAGGTGGCCGAGGGTGCTGGAAGTTCTGCATGTCTGGCTTGAGCCTCAACTTCACTAGGACGGGCCGTACAACGTTTCTGTTCAATGTGCCTCACCAACGTGTCTTTTCTGGTGAATGTCTTCTGGCAATGGGGGCATCTCTTTTGTTTCAAGTCCGTGTCCGTGGTGGCTTCGGCTGCTGGGTTTGCATATACCTTATGAGCTGCATGTTTGTGGTTGGCTAGCCCCTTTTCCCCATTGCATTTTTGACCACGCACGTCGCACTCCAGCCACAGGATGGCTGCAGCATCAGTTACTGCGTCCGTCTCGCCGCCATAAGTCAGCACACGCCGAAGGCAGCGCGGCCCAAGGTCTGCGAGCCATCGCAGCCACGGTTCGGCCAGCTCAGGAAGGTCACCGCGAAGCTGAAAAAGCGGACGGGCAGGTAGCTTCTCCTGCACGCCCGCGGCCTGCCACAACTGCCGCATGTCGTCCAGCAGCGGGGTCAGCATGCCCGACTGCCCCCCCTGGCCGGCCCTCTCAAACGAGAATCGACCGAAGATGGCCGCCCTAACCGCCAGCGTCGGGTCGTGCAAATCATCGTTGGGCCCCCTGAGAGCAGGCCACAACCACCGCAACCTTCTCAGTAAGAGTGTGCTCGTAACGGTCGGCGTGCGGGCCCGCTTCCTGATCTCACGGCTGGTGGCCTTGTACAGGTGGGCTGGCGAATTCAACAAACCACGTAGCTTCTTCACTTGCCAGCTCTCCAACTTGTTCAGCTCCCGCTTGGCGAGGTGCGCGACCTCCAGGCAGCGCAAGCACACCGAGCGGACAAGCGCTTTCCACAATATGATCTTCAACTTTGGACCGAGCCCACTCTTGAACGCACGGCGCAGCAGGCGGGCATGAGTCGAGTTAGCTGCCTTGATGCGGTTCGTGACCTCTGCTTGGTGGGCGCCCGTCGCTGCCAATTGCACCCCTAAGTGCTTGACCGTCGGCTGCGGGCGCAACGGGAAGTAGTCGTCGTCTTCCCACGTCATTATGCCCGTAGTGCGAGCTCGAATATGCGTCAACCTTTTCTTACTGCCGACCCCCGACGGCGTGAGCAGTATCTCGGTCTTCCTCCCGTTGACTCTCATGCCGCCAGCTTTGATCTCACCCTTCAGTACTTCCAGGATGATGGATGCATCGTCGTACCCCCCGGTTTCAGCGAACGTGGGCAAATCGTCTTAGAACGCCAACTGAGAAGCGTCCAGGGCCTCGCACTCTTCCTATTCCAGGCTGCCGTTGCACCTGATCCTCTTGAGCGTGGGGTCGTAGTGCACCTTGATGGCTGGGCACTCCAGCTTTTGCAATTGACCGGTGATCCGATATACAATCCCATCATAGACCGCCACAAATAGGCCTGGACTCTCAGACCCTCCTTGTCGCACACCTTGCTTGACCCAAATCCGAGCGACTGGAACATGAGTGGTGGCATCACGGAACAGGTAGCACATGCCCTCGTGGAGCCTTTCAAGAGTCGCACGGGCACCCCACCGTAGTTCAAGCGCCTCCAAGCTTTGCCAGACATCTTGGCGTACAACCGCGTCGAAGGCCTTCTCGATGTCCGTGAGGACTGCCAACAGCATAGGAGGTGGGGCTGAAGTGCTTCCTCGTCGTTTGGCTCGGTGCTCTCTCTGATGCCGTGCAATTACTTCTCCTGCCACTGCCGCCGCATCTCGCGTGCCCCGCCCAGGCATAGCTCCGAACTGCGTTGGTAAAATCTTGTGCGCCACTTCCCTCATCGCATCAAGCGTAGTGACCCTGGCGTGCGCCTTGCCTACGTGGTTGATCAAGTTGCTGGTACGGTAGTCCGTCGATGCCGTACAGCCGTCGCCCTTTGGTTTCCTTAACTGCATAGTCTCGCCATCGTTGAACCTCTGAGGCGCGTCGCCCAGTGCCTGCGCCGCGTTGAAAACCTGCAAGAGGGGCGGCGCGAGCGCGTCAATCGCTAGCTTCCAAGACTCAGCAACAGCTCCCACAGGCGGCCCCCTGATAGGCCACTGCAGCATAGGTCCCCCCTTCATGTTGGGCAATTTCATGATGCTCTCCTTCACCTCCGCAAGGACATAGCTGCCGATCCTATCATCATCGCGTTCCTTCCTGCCAGCTTGAAGAGGCCGCTCGTCAAGGCTCATCG